AAAATGTTACGTTACAGGATACTATACCAACTAAATCAATTAGGAAAGTGTTGCCAAAAAGAAAATATGCATGATGTGAGATTTATGCAAAAGTGTAAATCAGATGTGGAGAGCAACGTAGGTGGCAATGGCATATGCTTTGGAAGATGCTAAACTCAAAACCTCCATTTCGCTCTCTTTCTCTTTTATTTATGTTCCCTTTAACAAAAAGCCACCCCCTCACACTGCTAAATCCTACCTATATACATATGTCATCTCACACTTCCATGACCATCAAGCAAATTCTATAACCCCAAATCCAACGTTCATTCTCGAACCCTCTCCAAATTGCACCCCATGTCGAATTAATATGCAACTGCCTCGTGCCACCATGGTGGTGGTGGACATGCATAGAAGATGGTGGGTAACGGTTGGTGTTAAATCATCATGGTGGAGCAACAATGTATAATAAGTTCAAAGATTGCTGGGAAAGAAACCGTCCTTCTTAAGGGCGATTTCTCTTGAAAAGGGCAACTTCATCCTTTGGCATTTTTCGGTTCCTCCAACTCGTTTCACTTTGTGTGAATCAAGTTTTGAGGGAAATTTGGCAATATATGATATAATATCTCTACTATGGACTCTTTGTTTTCTTGTACTTTGTGCTTCAATTCGAGCTGCATTTTATATGTATCAATATATATGATGTGATGCTGCTTACTATATAGTATGGTAGGCAACTAATAATTTAATGTTGGGTTTTAGAGAACTCTTGTAACACTATGTTGTTGTCGTTCACGTGGGTAAAAATCTCTGGCCTTGTTATTTTGCTTCTTGCATAATGAATCTAGGAATTGGACAGTGACACAAACTACTGCAATGGGTATATGACATTTGTTAAAGTTAAAGAAGCTCTCCACTGTCTTGTGTGGTAAACGTGTTTTGCAACTTCCCAGGAAATATAAGGTAAAAAGTAAAATCTAAAAATAGCAGTATCTTATTCTTGAGTAATTCATTTTTTATTACTCAGATCTCTAGCATGCATCATCTTTTCCTTCTCAGCAAAACTTAACCTGGAAATTTTACTCGCATGTTATCCCTTTCTGGTTTTCATTGTCCCTTTTACCCCTTCGATGTTGTGCTGGTATATAGGGACGTGCTTACTAATTCTTAATTCCTATTCATACGTTTGAATGATGTTCAGATGTGTATATACACAATAAAAATAAGGTTTAATACATACACAGTTACCGAAATTTTTAAGAAAATTTTAATTAAGTCCTTTAAACATAAAATGTTTGCAATAAGTTTTTGTTATTTTATTTTATTTTTTATTTTATAATCTACTAATTTATTAAACCTAAATAAAAAATGAACGGTTGCTTCTTACATAAACTTCTAGATAATATGGTGCACAAAAAAACCTAGTTGATTTTTATTAGATTCCAAAATTATTCTTTAATTAATTACTTCATCTGGTCCTATCTATACAACTCAAATCAAAAGTAATGTTTAATTTATTTATTTTTTTATATAAGAACCATTTTGTTTCTTGCCATAATTTTTTTTTTATACAAAAAATATCTTAATTAAAATCATTTATCTTAATTCAATTATTAATAAAATAAGGATCTCATTAATGCCAAAAGTAATTTTGAAAAAAAAATTAAGATAAATTTAATGTTATTAGCTAAATAACCAAATTCTTTAATTTTAATTAATTAATTAATCAATTGAGTCTTATAAAAAAAGTTAGCGAGAAACACATTCAGTGTTCTATATGCACAATTAATAAATAAGTAAAAAAATCATTCCAACGAGAATAATATATTAATTGGCATTAGGCTATTAATAGTATAACAAGATTAAACAATCAAAGTAATAAAGGACCATGATCCCGATTCATAAAATAATAACCTTGTAGAGAAGAATAAGATAGAAAAATAATGTTTTGTTATAATTAATTTTTGTAATATATTTATATATGTTATTAGATTAATTTACCATTATTGTTATCACTACATACATCATCACTAACCATGAGAGTAAATATAATAAGTATCCAAACCTTGAATTAAGAATGTTCATCACAGTTAAGAAGAAATATTTGTAATATATATATATATATATATATATATATATAATAAGATGATATATGATTAAAATGTGTATTACTTTCAATCTCTCATGATAAATTACTTCAACAATATTAAAAATTACAATACCGTGTATTGTTATGACAGACATGATGACCTGTTAAACTAATTACTATTTTTTTTTTCAATCTCGATAGTTATTTATTTGGGATTGATTCGCACTCTTACCCTAAAAATTGGGATTATAATGTCAAATTTTACAAATGTTGTGAGTGTCGTTTTGCTTGTTGCCAGAAACATGATCTCATTACTTAAAAGGGAAGATATTGGATCAACCACTAACGCATACTTACTTTTTGTGGAAACTGTGGTATCAGGTGATTGTGATCAAACTGTTTTATTTTATTTTATTTTTGTGTGACATGCTTAAGCAATGTTTGCTGTACATACCTCTTACTTTTCAAAATAAATAAATAAATAAATAAATAAAAGTTTAACAAAAGAATGCCCTTAGTCAATAAGGCCGTAGCCATGGCTAGTGCATCCATCACCTCCAAATAAAATCAATGCTAAGCATTTCAGTGTCGAGACCATTAATTTACATATAACATCCTCAATTTTTCCTAAAGAAGACTGGCATGCCAATTTTTTTTTAATATGAATAACATTTTTTAATTTACTCTCTATTCTATTTTCTATGATGATTATAGGAAAATTTGAATCATGTATCGAAGGATTACATAATTTTTATTTTTATTTTTTTTTATAAAAATTGACAGATTTAACTATTTAACATATTTTTTAATTTAAAGGTTAAATTATTAAAATTTAACGTATATAAGTTACTAAATAAGTTTACTTTACTAATAATAATTACTTTTAGAATAACATAATTTCTACTTATTATTTAATTTGTTATATCTTTTCATTTTATTTATTTTTAAAATAAAAATTATCATATGTCTCTTTTTTCTTAGTTATTGAAATATCTTTTTAAGAAACATTGAAATTAAATTTTAAAATAAAAAAATATGAGTGAAAAGAGAAAAAAATATTAGAAAATATCTAAAATATATTTTTTTTAAAAAAGTACTTGTTAAAAATAATATTTTTT